GAGCTGTAAACACGGGAATCTCCGACCGCATGCAATCTTTGACGAACACCCAATTCATATATCAAACTAGGCTATATGTTATTAAATTGTACATAGGCTATATATCTGATTATTTTATTTACAAGTTTCATGTTTTTGTTTATCCCGTTTTTTCGGTTGCATCTGAAAATTTCTTTCAGAAACATTTTTTTTTTTCAAAGCAACCCACTTACCCCCATATTAATGTTTAGAACAGTGCAAATACAAACACCTTTAGAAACTCATAGTTCAGCATCACACACCATGATATGGGTTAAAATGAGAGTCCATTTCTCTCCAAAACGGTGCCAGTTTTAGCGTTTTGCAATAAAGAAATAAAAATAACTAAACTTGATCATTTATGTTACAATTTTAACATAAATGCACATTGTTCTAGAAGGATGGCAAATTTTTATGCTGATAATACAATTTGTAAGGAAAAATGTATTAAATAGCGAGTTATTTCTGGGGAAACTTTTTCAAAGGCAAACACACACACACACACACGTCTCTTTGCTGAGCCGCGGCGGTCTCGGTGAATCAGCAGCATCCACAACTGAACGGAACAAAAAGTGTTGAACTTGAAAATTGTTTATGCGCGAGTGCACTTGCTAAATGAAGGCGGATTGTATATAATGTATTTTAAAAAAAACGTTTTCACAGCACGCATCACGTGCTCAAACTCATCAAAAGTCAACAAGTTCAACAAGCAACAACGACTTGTCCAAGTGACTGCTGCAGAACGCACGCGAGAGAGAGAAGAGGTGGCGCAGATCGCGCGTCTCATAAGTGAGTGGGGAATTTACCGAACATGGCACTTGCGGGAGTTAACACTGTACACAATACCCGCAACCTCACACCAAATTTCAGGCCGTGTAGATAGGCAAGCATGTATACTAATCATTTAGTAAGCAGAAATCCTAAATTTACCTTAACATATTAAGTTAGATGAAGATGCGACTGAATTGATGCTTGAAGAATGCGCTTCCAGCAGCCACGATGAACAGTTTGCGGTTAAAGTTTTCAAAGTTTTCATTTGATTTGACGAAAGTCACGAGACCTATTACTCTCTATCCAATCACGTTGATGGATATAAATAAAATTAAAACAAGCATGTAACAACCACAAACGGAGGAAAATAGCGGAGTAAAATTACCGATACATCACTTAAAATGTACTCAAGTAAAAGTACACAATTTTTAAACTACTCAAAAAAGTACAATTACTGATAAAAAAAACTACTTAATTACTGTAACGTGAGTATTTGTAATTCGTTACTTCACACCCCTGTTTATTAGTAAGATCATGTATAGTGTCCTATGTTTGTATAATGTACTCTACCGTCTAAAAATTTGAGGTCAGTAAGATTTCTTTGAAAAAAACGAATGCTTGTATTCAGCAAGGATGCATTAAATTGATCAAAAGTGACAGTAAAGACCTTTTACATTTCTGTTTCATATAAATTGTTCTTTTGAAGTTTCTATTCATCAAAGAATCTTGAAAACAAAATATACTGAAGACTGAAGTAATGGCTGCTGAAAATTCAGCTTAGCATCACAGGATTAAATTACATTTTAAGATATATTACCATAGAAAGCAGTTACTTTAAATTGTAATAATATTTGACAATATTACGGTTTTTACTTTACTATTTTTGATCAAGTAATTGCACCCTTTGTGAGCATAAGATACTTCTTTTAAGAACATCACAAAATTTAATTTAAATAAACTGCCTACCATAAGCTTTTTAAGGGTAGTGTGTATTATCTCTTACTAATATGGTTTGCCAAAATGTCTATTTATTTCCAAGTTATGATCATATTTATGATCAGATCAGATTATCAGATTACATTTTCTTTTAATTTAGTTGAATTTAATGTGAATTGTATAATACTTAAATTAAATTATATTAAGCATCACCAAGGACTGCATTCTTTAAATGTGATTTGGGGAATTTGAAATTCAAGAATTGATCATATTTATTTATTTGTCTAGTTTTCCATTTGGTTTATCTATTAAATTTGGGCCTATTTTAAGCATAGTTTTACAAGCTTTTTAAGGTTATGCGCAACAAACATTACAGATATGTCACATTTTTGCATAAATATGTCTCACTGCTTTGTCATTGTGCCCTGCTAGCGGGTTGCTCGCTCTCAGGAGGAGTTGTGCGACATGCCGGGCGGGTACCCAGGTGAACACCTGTGCCAGGAAGACCTGATGCACCTGCAGCAGCAGCGTGAGGCCGAGTACCAGCGAGGCGGTGGCGAACACTGGAACCACCAGATGTCCTCCTCGGTGGAGTCCAGCACCTCCAGCCAAGAACACCTCAACTACTCGTCATCCTCTGGCTCCAGGATCCAAGGCAATCACAAGAGCGGCCCTGGCCGCTGGAAGACCCCAATAGCACCCCACTCTGGCCCCGTGGGCGTCTCCCAACCTTCCCGTTCAGATCTTCCACCTCCTCCTCCTCCTCCACCTGCGCACTACGACTACGAGCCGCAAACCGACCTGCCGCTTCCTCCACCACCCTCCGTTACGCAGCAGCAGGCAGCAGCCGCTGCGGCCACTGCCGACCGCAAGAAACGCGAGGAGCAACAGCGCTGGTATGAGAAGGAGAAGGCCAGGCTTGAAGAGGAACGAGACAGAAAGAGAAGAGACCAAGAGCGGAAGTTGGTGCAGATTCGCAACCCTCCCGGGCCAGTCATGCACAACAACCAGCACGGTCCGCTGCCGCCCGCCCCTCAGCACCAACAGATGCCCCATCCACAGCTTCCCATGCAGGTGCCCCAAACATACCTTCCACCGGTCCAGCCGCCCCAACCACCACAGCCACAACCCGCTCGACCCGACAAGCTATCCAGCCTTCCCCGCCAGCCGCCACAGGACACAGTAATACGTGACCTCTTGCCCCAGCAGCAGCCACGCACCATTGAGAGACGTGACTTGCAATACATCACCATCAGCAAGGAGGAACTGTCCGCCAGTGACAGCCTGTCGCCTGACCCCTGGAAGAGGGACGCCCGTGAGAAACTGGAGAAGCAGCAGCAGCTTCACATTGTGGACCTCCTGGACAAGGAGATCCAGGAGCTTCAGGCCAAACCCGAACGCACGGCCGAGGAGAATGACCGTCTGCGCAAACTCATGCTAGAGTGGCAGTTCCAGAAGAGACTGCAGGAGTCCAAGCAGAACGAGGAGGATGAGGAGGAGGAGGAGGATGACGAAGATGTAGACACCACGCTAATTATGCAGAGACTGGAGGCTGAGAAGAGAGCACGGGTGAGCAGACATGGGAAGTGGGATAGCTAGATTAATGTGTGAATATAAACCGTTAAAGTCAACATGAAATCAAAACTGACCCCTTTTGCTAAATAGTTTATCCAAAAAAGTCTTTATATTTTTCATCAAAACTTATTCCCCATCTGATACCGACCAGTAGCTAACCTACAAATGGTATAGTAGTTGTCACTGCATAGTAAGCTATAGTAAAACATACAGTATTTGCTAATTGATGATTTCTGTAAAGCGAGATTTATGGTAATCAAATACACAGGGTTCCAGTGGTTCCAACAACAAAACATTTAAAATGATGATTTCCAGGCCTGGAAAATTCAGTGAAATGAGTAATATCTTAAAAAGTCATCTTTATTGAATAGAAATTGCTCTAGTTATGCTCAGATCTAAAGTATTTTGTCAGGAAAAACTACTTTGTGAGTGCATTTGCTTATTTGGGAATCACAATCAATTGGAAAATAATGAAAATCATTGGTAAAAAAAAATTTAGATACACAACTGTTCAAAAGTTCGGGGTCTGTACGAATTTATTTATTATTTATTTATTTATTTTTGTTTGGTTTTTGAAAACGTCTTGTATGCTCTCTAAGGCTGCATTTATTTGATTGCTAAAAGCAGTAAAATAAAAAGTAAAAACGGTAATATTGTGAAATGTTATTACAATTCAAAAGAACTATTTTCTATTGTAATATATTTTAAAATATAATTTATTCCTGTGATGCAAAGCTGAATTTTCAGCATCATTACTCCAGTTTTCAGTGTCACATGATCCTTCAGAAATCATTCTAATATGCTGATTTGCTGCTCAAGAAACATTTATCATTATTATCAATGTTGAAAACAGTTATGGTGCTTATTATTTTTTAATATTTTTTTAGGATAATAGAAAGTTTTGAAGAACCACATTTCTTTGAAATATACAATTTTGTTGCATCATAAATGTCTTTACTGTCACTTTTGATCAATTTAATGCATCCTTTCTGAATAAAAGTATTAATTTCTTAAAAAATCTTACTGACCCCAAACTTTTAAACGTTCGTGTATGTCAGGATTCATTTTGATATATAGCACCCACTTTTTTCAGTCAAAAAAAGCCATATCCCTATGGATACAATCAAGTAAAATGGGTTGTAATGCCTATCATGTTGACTTTAAGTATTTTAAGTGTTAGCTTGATGAATGGTTTGGTAATGTACTTTTTCTCCACGCTTACACAGACGATTGAGCATTAATTTTGTTTTTCAATTGCTTTGGAAAGACTCAGAGTCTTTCAAGATTTTCAAAACAACTAGTCTTACTTGAGTACACTTGAATTTTCCCATTGCTGGAGAGATTGAATCATCTAAGTTAGTTGTAAACTTCTGCAGTGCTGTTTGAAGTCGAGTGCAGGTCTCTTTTTTTTGTATGTTCGTAGACTTTAGCATTACATTTGAATCTGCAGTCAGCAGCAGGACAGACTGGTGATGGAACAACTTAACAACTAACCTGGGATTCCCTGTGTGATGCTTTAGTCTCCACTGTTGTAATTAATGTTTTGCCATGTGCTCCTGCAACATGCCTATGTCATTGCTTTTCCATGCTGCACTGCTGATATATATAATGCGCACTGATGGAGGGGAGGAGCAGGGCTTTCCGATGCCAAGCACTGGACCCGATTCCACTGCTTGCACCAGCATCAACCTGCCTCATCCAGATCAGTACATCTCTCCTGATCTCATCTGCCATTTAAAATGAAATAGTCATTTAACTTCTAAAAACAAATCAGCGATGGAAGCATTTCTGACTTGTAGTTACTGGCTAACCAACCACTTACAGTAGGATCAGAATCAGGATCATTTGAAATGTGCTAACAGTCTCTAACAAGACATGACCATATTTTGTTTACATGTAAGGCCTTTTCAGGCGCATATTAAGTCTTGTCTCTGAGCAGGGTGGAGAATTAAGGCCATTGATTTTGCTAGTAAGTAGGGCTTGGTGATGCAAATAAATGTCAATACAATTTATTATTATTATTTTTAATAATCACAGTTTATTTCTATAGCACATTTGTTAAAATCAAACAAAGCACGGAAAAACACTCAGACAAAAAATATTGATAATGAAAACACACCTAGGCTTCAAAAATACAAAAATTATACTATAAAATAAAATTATACAATAAAATTAATGTACTATAAAAAATTTAATAAAATACAAACATTTTATAACAGACTATCACAGTGATAGTCTGTTATAATTTTTTTGTATTTTATATTACATTTTTTTATAGTACATTTACGTGTGTGTGTGTGTGTATATATAATTACACCAAAATACAGCTTAAAATACAGCTTAAAATGTCGTTTTCACGGAACCTTGCAAAAGCAGCGCGTTACAATGGTGAGGGAAAAGCTCAGTGTATTGCGTGTAATCACATCCATACAGTTTATGATCACAACAACAACGTTTGTCAGGCATCTACATTGTCATCTGAGGAGATTACAAAGATTAAACGAGTGTTTTGTTTTTTTTACTCTAAAACATGAACTGTGGCGTTTTTGCCAAAAATGACTGTTGGCGTTATCTGCTTTTGCTATAAAACAAACGTTTAATATGTAAAAAAAAAAACATATACTTTCAATGAACTTTAATTTTGTAAGTTACCTGTATTTGTTTAAGTTATTATTACTTAATCAAAACAACTCGACTGCAGTTTGATTGATATTACTTGGAATGCGCAATAAAAAAACTTGATTTCTGAAAAGAGTTATCGGTTTATGCACCAAAATAATGATACATAGCAACATTTATCTTTTTATGTATTTTCTAAAATTACATTTATATATGCATTTATTTTAATATATTTTACTACACTTTTTAAATTAATAATTTTTTTAAAATGTATTTTATAAAACTTAACATTTTTGAATGATGACTAACAAATCATTGACGTGCCTTTCAAATGAACTAATTTGCCATTAAGAAGTGTTGTAACTTTTAGGATGCATAATGGCTATATGTGTTAAATATTCAAATTGGCTATTTTTTTTTTTATAGCCAAGAAAATAAATTGATAATGTCTCTAAGAAATGTATAGTCTCTTTATAGACTGATGTCTGAAGGTCTGGAATTCATGGCAGCTTTCATTGGCCAAAGCCCGCCCGTGAGGCCGTTTGACCGACATGTCAAAAAAACAATCACAGTTCGTTTCATTCATCGTCACGTTTCGGGGGGTGGAAATGTCACCACAAGAACAGACCGGTGTGTTAAACTCTGACACATTTTAAAGATTCTATGCCGCGAACTTTAAATATTTCACATACTTTTGAAACTCCAGCGTTTAGTTGATCCTGATAAGCGCTCGTCGTCACAGTTGTAAACACTACGGCTTTCTTCTTTCATGAGGGGGTTTGGTGTCACGCCATCTTTGTTTCCAGATGGAACATTAAAAAGAACGCGATACATATGTCTCCCGGAAATCCTGTAGAATTCAACCAATCCAATGACGACTTCGACACTCCTGAAGTGTTTCCACTTTTGTGTCCCATATGCGTCAGACGTTTAGACGTCTGAGGCTGAGACTAAGAAATGTATAATGTATAATAAATATTGGATGTATCACCTAGCCCTTTTAGTAACTAAAGGCTTAATCTGTGTCCAGAAAACAGCCTGTAATGAGCTTCTAATGTCAAAACACGTGAGTTTACTGCAGTGTAATTCAGGCTCTTGACTTCTTGGTGGGCTGGAATGTGCGCAGCATTTCCAAACAGCTTCCTTGTGCTTTCCAAGTCTGTGAGACTTTCAGCGCTAGCACAAACATCAGCCCCCACTAACGTTATTTCCTCCAACACCTGCCGTAGCAGCTGTCATGCGAAGCATAGCATCCACCTGAGAGTCTGCTGTGTGTAGCACACTGCTGGAAGCTGGCTTTGATATCGCTCCATCTCTGAGGAGTTGGCAGGTCGAGCCGTCTAAGGGAAGGTCAACACAATCCTGTGTGTTTGAAGGAAAAATATTGCCAGTGCTTCAGTGGGGGGGACGTGGAATGATGGGGAAATTCTTCACCAGCTCAAATGTTTGTGGAAGGGAAGTGGACCGCTGGTGCTAATCAGACCCATACTGCCCTGGAATGTTCCTGGCAGCACTATTTAGTTATTTATTTTTAAGGTGATCTCATTTCTTAAGTTAAAACTTTAGTATTATTTGATCTGTAAAACTGTTCTTGCCATTTTTATGATCATTTTCGGGTTCATGGATTTGTGTTTTCATGGTAACAAAATTGTAAAATTGGATATAAATGAACAGAAAATGTTAAATGATTTTTTTTTTCCCACTTTAAAACCATGCTAACACTCAATGTTTTTGTCTTATACTATACTACACTTACTATACTATTAAAACCATGAGCATTTTAATGCCCCATTCACTCCCATTGTAAGTGCCTCACTGTAACCCAGGTTTTTGAAACAGAGGGACAAGTTGAAATAAGTTTTAGAGGTACTCAGCATTATTCCACAAATGCTGCCGATTGAGTTTAGCCTGTATTTATTATTCATTTAACATTAAAAAAAATTACACACTTCAGCTTTAAATGTGCACAGGACAGCGACCTTGTGTCTGGTAGCTTAGACAAGAACATTTGCACCTAGAAAACCACCAAATTCATTCTAAAGAACAGTTTGGAAGCTCTCTTTCTTTTTTGGAGTACATGAAGAAGCTCTGCTGATTTCGGCAGCCGTTGTTTCAGTGCAGTTTCATCATGAGGGTGGGTTGGCGCATGTTTTCTTCCAGCCCGGTCTCTCCGGCCCTGAGCTTGCTTGCATGTGGGCCTCATTTCCATGCTGTGATCACCATTCCTGGTTCTCCATCTACTCCACTCATCACTGCTCTCTGCGTCTGTATTGACCCTGATGCTTTGCCGCTCATTTACTCTGCGTTTCTCCATGGTTTTCTGTGCTGGGTTTCCTCTTCCCCTATCCTGACTATTGGACATGTCTCCGTTTATGTCCGCTTCCTTCTGATTTTGGAGGGAAAAGGTGTATGGCCTTGATTTGTATTTCCTAACCTGTTGAACATTGTATATGTATTGTGTATGAAGTTTGATGGAGGTGTTTGGGTTTCCTTTTGAATGTTTTGAAAGTGAAGAAGCATTGAAATTCTGTCAGTAAGTTGTTTTGCATGCAACTGTGTATGTGCATGTGATTTTGTGTGATGGTGTGCAGTGCACGATGCCTCTCATCACAAGGGCCACATTGACAAATTTACTGGTGTGATAAAAATTCAGCAGAACACCTTTATACAAATCACCACAGCAGAATAGTTTGAATAAGGTTTTGGACCTGTTCAGGTTGGCCATTGAAAATTGTTTGCTAATCTAGTCTAAACTAGGCTACCATTTTAAAAGTAAACATTAAATTAATATTACATTAAATTTTTATTTTTTGTGTGTGTGTTTAATGATAGGTTTGAATATAGGTTTGTAATTTTACATACAAGTTAAGTGTAACACTACTGTTCAAAAGTTTTGGGTTTGTAATTTTTTTATTATGTTTTTGAAATTAGTTACTTATGCTCACCAAGGCACAATTTATTTAATCAAAAATACAGTAAAAACATCAATATTGTGGAATATTATTGCAATTTTAAACAGCTGGGGCCGTATTCACGAAAGATTCTTAAGAAGAAATTTCCTCTTAACTTTTCTTATTTTTTTACTTAAGAAAAAAGTTATGAATATTCTTATCTTTTTTCTTACGATTGTTTTTAAGACAAAACTTAAGAAGAATTCAAATTCTTGAAAAGAATCTACTTAAAAATCATCGTAAACAACTTCTTAAATTAAGGATAGCCCCAGACTTGTCTTAAATCCCAAACAGTAAGAATTATTTAATGAATTTATTGGGTTATTTCAAATTAATTGTTATATTTAAGCATTACAACAACACTAGCAACATATAATATGAAGTAGGACTATTAATAGGGATGTGCACGAGTTTTCTGAAGTGACAGCGATGACTGATAATGTAAACAATGATCGGTCATGATTAGCCCGTGTGTGACGCTACTTTTTGCTGAAACACTGACCGGAAGCGTTCACTCGGATGAAAACGCAAAAAAACTGCACAAAAATGAATGAAACCGATCGCTGCAGCTTGAGACAGGCTATTTTAAAAGTAACTGTTTAAAAACGTGAAGCTGAGCGCCAGTCAAAGTCGCGACGAAAATAGTGTGCGTGTTTATTATGATTACTAGGGTAATCTGCAGGAAGCGCAAAAAGACAATAAAGAGTTTATCAGTGCGTCATGTAGCCTATTCACTCCGATAAAGACTGTAATTTTCTTCTTAAGAAAAAAATTAAGATGTTCTTAAGAATATATTTGAGAACTTAAGAATTTTTCAAGAATTGCGCTTAAGAACAATCTTACGAACTTATTTCTTAAGAAGATTTTCGTGAATCCGGCCCCTGGTTTCTATTTTAATATAATTTGAAAAGTAATTTATTCCTGTGATGGTAAAGCTGAATTTTCAGCATCAT